ATTCAGAACGACCAAAACGTGCTTCAATGACCAAATCAAAAGTTACAGGCAAAGAGAAGTTTTTTTTTAAATAACTCTTTCAACTTCTTGTCGTCACGTCACCTGAAGTTTCGAGATTGAACGGCTATCTATTGCTGGTAAAAGAGTTTCCTTTGCTTTTTCCTCGGAAACCATCTTTTTTTGGTCCACGTGTGATGTAGTCGTTCATTCCTGAAAAATCTCCGTCAAATATGTCCCCTTCTTTGGTGAAATGTTAAACTAAACCGCATGATATTGATATTACATTCCGTTCCCCTGTTGTAGGTAAACAGTGCGCCACCCTGTATCCGTATAATGATAATGTAGGTGTGTACGCACGTGATTAGGGGACTTTGTGTTTATCAATATTGCCGTTATAAGATTATGCATGTACATCATTTGAGAATGAATCGCCAGTAAGTGCGGTTGTATATGTGCACCGTTCGCATGAAACGTGTTTTTTTATAATCCCCGAGGGTGAGTTCTGATTACGTTTATGAAAAATTGCTTTGATTTGAAAGAGTATTGGAATGGGGACACATTTTGATACCTTAATTCAATGTTTTTCAATCTTTTTGAACGCGCGACCCTTTTGCAAGTTGAAAAATTCTGGCGACCCCGTGGCGCCTTAAATAAATTATGTCAATTACTTCAATTAAAGAGTACGTATTTAATTTTGATTAGTTTGGGACCAATACTTAATTTTAACTGTGTAAAAAAATCGTGAGAATTCTGCAACAAAGGAAAGAGACCTTCTGATTTAAATGATGTGCTTAATTAAGTGATCAAATTTCGAGCTTTACATCGCACACTACTTTCTACTTCCATGGTTCAAATTCGAAAAATCGTATGGCGCAATTGTCACGTACACCAACACGATGCAGTTCTCTTACCATGCAAGCATTTTAACAGCTAAGGACGAAACCACAGAATTCCTTGCAAAACTGAGTTTATGGTCACTTTGAAAAAAACTGCAATGGACCAATCGTTGGTAATGCATGAGTCAGAGCTCGCGCACAATTTGCAAGATAAACTTGCTAGTTATTTTCCAAAACTGTTTAGATCTGAAGGTAACAAATTGACGTCTATGACTATTTTCATAGTGGGCAAAGGAACCTATACAATTATTAGTTCCATTCGCCACTTCCTACCTATGCGAACTAACATTCTCTTCAATGTTGAACATAAAAACTAAGGAGAGAAATAGGCTCCACTGAGAGAGTGATTTGATCGATTACGTATCAAAAATAGAATCACGTTTTCACAAATTATTGAAAAATAAAGAAGCATAGCCTTCTCACTAAATTGTAGTATAGTATTTACTAACAATTGCATTTTTATTTTACTAGCGACCCCCTGAGTAGGGCTTGGCGACCCCAGGTTGAAAAACACTGCCTTAATTTAAGTACTTTTAAGAAATTAAAAACTAAGTGAATTTAAATTTGTGCTTACACGTAGGTAACTAAATCCATTTAAGAGATGCGTCAGCTATATAGACATCCTAAAAAAGTTTAGGGATACATGGGATCGTACTCGGGGTCGTATGATACGTCACTTTAAGTCAATTCTCTAACTTTGATTTCCGTTGCACTGCCACAATAAAAATTAGAGTCATCTTAAATTATAGGAATTTAGCTACTCACGATATTTAAACGGTGTTCCGGTGATGGGGTGGCTATTCAAATTTTTAACTTCCTAGTTTGAGTTAGGTGGCATTGCAATCATGTCAAAATTTCATCAAATGTCGACGTTGTAGACCATTTTATGGTAATTTAAAGAATAAATTTTTTTCCGTTTGTATGTAATGTAATGGCTCGACGAATTTTGTTCGAATTTTGGATATGGATATACGGATATATTAAGGCGCACGGAAACGAAAAATAACGACCGCATTTTTGAAACAAAATTTTTGTGCTCCAATTTTTTTTTACAAATTACAATGTAAAGTTTTTATTACATTATTCGAAAGGCCTTCTTTTTCTGTGTACAACATACAAAAATTGTGCCATGTTCTATTACAAAAAACTTCGGCAAAACGGCTATTTTGATTTCGTTAAAATGTTGACAGTATACATTAGGCATAAAGGATGTAAGATTAAAAATTGGGTTAGGAAGCTGTTCTGTCAATTTGGCACTTGCTTTTACAGTTGTTTTTGGTATTTCTGAGACAATTTTGTGTAGTGGAATTTGTAAGTTAAAAAATCCGGGGGACAGAGAGTCAAATTGGCCTCCGTGTTTCAATTCAGGAAAAACTGATTTTCCAGATCAGCACAAATTAAAATTGGATCAGAACAATTTAGCACAACACTAGCACTGGAGCTAAAAAAATATCTTGTCCGAAATAGAACGTGAAAGTGTTTACCCACTCATAGGTTTTGGTCTGTAGAATACAAATCGCACAGAATTTTCAATATCAGGCGAACACAGACTGCATCAAAATTTATGGGGAAAAAACCGACCAAAATATGTAAGATAAAGTTATCTCTCGGTCGATTTTCGGTGAAATATCAAAAACTATACGCTTGTCTATAAATTCGGTCTGTAAAATTCAGAACGACCAAAATGTTTTCTTTGAAAATCGGTTTTTTATAGCTATAATTGTGGGTAAAAGTTTGCTCCTTGGAAATCGTCTTTTTTGAACGTGTGATGTGCGTTAAAGTGGATACTTTTTGGTGCGCCACCCTGTATCTTAATAAGGATAATGTAACCAGGTGCTTAGGGGACCTTGCATGTGTTTCTCTACGTCGCAGTTATTAGACTTTGTATGTACTTTTGCAATTCATTCGCGAATGAATCGAAAGTAAGCGCGGGTGTGTGTGTTCCGTTCGTATGATATACTATGTTTATATTCTACAGGGTGAGTTTTTGTTTTAATTTACTTTTCACTCCCTGGGCCTGATCAGGACAAATTCAGACGAGTTAAATTATTAAGTTCATTTTATATATATTATATAATTTATTAGCAAGTCCAATAATCCTTTATTGGTGGTACTTAGTACAGATACTAAATTTAAAGCGTAGACCACCCCCTTAATTTTTAGTTCTTCAAAAAGCTTATCAATATATTCCTTATTGTTGGAGCAATTAAAAAGTAGATGGGTTCTGCGTCACCGCAATCATAATGGGGCGCAGTGATATTCATTTAGAAGTAGACATAATAGGGATTAAACTTTTAAATGACAAAAACTCTTTTGAAGGACGCCTAATTTTATATCAAAATATGAAGATTTTGCTGTCATATTAATTAATTGGAATCTTACTGGTTGGGCTTGCCTATTTTTATTTTCGTTTGTGTGCAATGTATTCAACTGAAGAAATAGTTGATATTGTCAATTGGTATAGTGCCGGTAATAGTTTAAGAAGCTATTTTCTGTGTTGATCACTTTAAAATTAGTGGTTATTTAAATGCGATCCACATAAGACACTGTAAACAACCCTCAATTTTAACGGAGAATATGAAACTGAATGTTTTAACTTTTGTAGAAGAGAATCCCATAAGAAACATAAGGGAAATAATTTGAAATCTGTGAGCATGTAGTATTTTCTGGACATACTTAAATTTAAGAGTGCGCCATTGTGTTTGAGTTACAAAAAATGAGATAGTGCTTACAAATTAATCCGTACGACTTACTAACTACTACTTGAAGGTGCAAACGATTTCAACCCTTTCTCTATGTTCTGGGACATTCGTGAAGTTAACCCCCAGACCGTATTTTGGACAGTAAGTTCGAATAAAGTAACTTACAAATTTTGAGATGATGATTACAAATTGTTACAAACCACTTACTAAATATTGGTTAAAACAAAAATATTGTTCTTCAAAGCACAATGTTTTTTTGAAATTTAAGAGATACCGTTTGATTACAAGTTTTGGCAACTTGATTACGAATGCTTTACTAATTAATTACGGTACCAAAATTTTGATATTGGAAGATAATGGGGCTGCCGAGAATTTAGCCGAAAAATTGGATTAGGAGGTAGGGTTTTCTAGATAAAACTATTCATTCATAAAAACTTATTGCAATTCCAGAAATGCATTGGTAAGTGTCCATTTAATGTCAATATTTCTTCATATTTTCTTTGAATACATCAAGTCAAAAGTTTTACAAAACCTAAACTTTGAAGTAATTCTTTCAGACGTGGAAGGTCACTTGATCAAACCCAATAACACAGGTAAATGTATCTATTCAATTAGGTTGAGCTAGACCGCTGCAACCCATTTTAAATTAATATTGGTGTTTCCTGCAGTTTTAGTTTGAATTTTGACTTACAATAAAAAAGCCCCGCGGCAAGTTGTCTTCAAATTACGCCACGGTCTGATGGTTGTGTTAGGGTGAGTTAACGCATATTGAATGGGTTATAATATGTTATATGCCATTTTGCAGTGAGTATACCTCAAATAGTGAGGGTTTTAATTTAATTTGCATTTCGCGTAATTCAAGTGTACCTTTCTTTAGGTTCGGCTGTAATTTGCGTACTACAATTTTTCCATCTACAATCAAATTGTTGCTTCATCTACAATTAGGCCGCTTATTTAAGAGGTGTGCACAATGTACACATTATGGCATCAACGAAGGAAGGTTACCTTTCATTTCTTTTAGATGCTTTTTAAATTTTACGATTAATTGTAATTACTAGTTTACCGGATACCTATTTTTGGTTCGACATACGAATTTGGGTGTGAAAGGGGCCAACGGGTCATGATCGAAATTTGATATCAAGCATCGAACAAAGAGACAACCACCGTAACCCTTTAACGTATTAGATAATAACTATTTTGCCCCTTCCGGGCTTATATGCTATGACATTCAAATAATTTTTTAACATTAGTACCTACCTAGGACCTTTGACATCTCGGTTAAGTTATGATCCGCCACTTCTTTCTGAGGTGGTTGACAACTTAAAAACCGTACCTGGTATACGATCATATTACGAGTAGAGTGAGGTCATTTACGCACTATTCAACTAATTCCATCTACAAAAGTCTACAAGTTTTCTCGAAAAATACCTAGTTTTGCCGTTGTTTGACTGTGAAACTCTGTAAGTTACCGTTTGATGAACAAGAACTAACCTTTAACCAGCCAGAACTCTACAGTTTTTTTTCAATAAAATACCCACTTTTCGAGTTTTTCGCGAATAACCAATTACCTAAATCTTTTTTATGAAAACGTCATACCTTCGGTCGCCAATAACTGGAAAAATATGAACTTGACCAAAAAAAATGTATAGAACACTTTTTTCTTGCTTTTTGCTCAGAATTAATTGCTCTATCTATTCCCGTGGTCAAACTACAATAAAAAAATTTCACCCCCGGGTTAGGGTGGCTACCACCCAGAGCATAAAAGCACCCTTTGACACGATAGAGATGTTGATCCTTAGACTATATTCCGTACCTACTATCAAAATTTCAAGTAAATCAATTCATTTTGAACAAATTTCCGGGGCAAAACCTTCCTTTCCTGAACTATAGTGAGAAATTAAATTTACATTCTTCATTTTTTCTCGTAAATATTCATTTACTGAGACCTTTTCCATCGACAATAAATTGGTACGCAAATTTTATCCGTAACTCTTTAGCGTCTTAGTTAACTATTTTGCCCGTTCAGGGTTGTATGCGATTACATTTAAGTAACTTGTAAAAGGTAGTATACCTACGCAGTATCTTTGCCCTCTAGGTTCAGTTGTGATCGAGTTTGAAACGCGAATGTTGTTGGAGACCACCACTTGTCTCTGAAGGGGTTGGCAAAGTACCTGGTACAGAAGCAGATTTGGAGTATAGCGAGGCCCTTCAGGCATTAATCAATTAATTATATACCGAGTCCTGCGACTTTAGAGGTTATTTATTTTTGTAAACAGGAATGGAAAAGTACAAGACACCCAAGCTCTCTAGACCATTGCCACATCAGCGTGTCAAGCATTTGGCAACCATCCCAGTTATCGAACTATCGACATGGACGGCGTCAACTTCAACAGTGATAAGGTACAATCTTTCTTTTATTATCTGCGATTTATACTAACAATTGTGTTTTACATTAACAGCGGGCCTATTTGGGTATACTAAGGACCATTATTTACAAGATTTGAATTTGTTCGTTAGATAGACAGAACTAAGATATTGTTTTAATAAATTAGGTTCATTTATATTTGATTAATAAGTAGTATCATACTTGATTCACATTCCCTAGTGGATACTTTTTGGTGCGCCACCCTGTGGGTATATACAGATAATGTAGGCACGTGGTCATGTAACTTTTTTGTTTATCAACATTGAAGATTGTGCATGTTACGTACTTCATTTGCGAATAAATCGCCATTAGGTGCGGTTGTATATTATGGTTCATTTATATTTCTGATTTCACGAGGGCGCATCGGGAAGTTATTAGGTACTCTTATCCTGCCAATAGAAAAGAAAGTCAAAAGGTACCCTTTCAAAAAGAATTAAATTGATTTTTTAGTGCGACCAGATCGTGCCTCCGAGTACTTTTGAAAAATTAAACAGTATACGTCATGTAATAAATTGATGGTTAGATGTAACTAAATCGAATGCGTCATCTGTATGAGCATGCTTTGGTGGATTTAGTTGAAACTTGAAGAGTAAGGTACATATTTTTGTGTGCAATATATATTATTAGGTACAGGGATATTGGGCACTTTCTGAAAGGAGGATTAACATGGTTGTCTCTTCCTAAGGAAATGGTCATGCCTTGCCTAACAAAAGCATTCCAAAACAGAAAACAGTAATAATTAAATATTTTACATAATGTTGAATTACGAAAAGTGCTAATCATTTAATACTTTCCTGTCGCTCCTTTCTTATTCTCGCATAAATCCCCTTAAAAAAAATGTGTCCGTAATTATAATTAACGTTTGATATAATTAAACTTCTCTTCGATATTTCTTTCGTTGCCGTATTCCGTTTTAATTATTTCTATTGTTAACTTTTTCCTTATCTTCTGTTTCTGAAAAATCAGTTTCACCACTTTCATTTCCAATTTTGTTTTTTCATTTCAATAAATCTCCTTCCTTCAGTTCTAAATTATTTTAATGTTAATTTTGAATTTCTCAATCTTTTCCATTCTCATTCCTTTATCCAGTTTCTTGTACATTTGCCGAAATACCTATGTTCATTATAATTCTGTAATACAGCATAACTCGCCTTGTAATCACCCTGACTTCGGTAAGCATCACCACAAGATAAACTAAATGTCTTCCATAATAATTCAAAATTACGGGAAACTTCCATTAAAACCTGGCTAACGAGAATTCCTTAACTCTTTCCCTTCCGTCCTTATATAAATTCTTCTTTAACGCACTCAAACAAATTCGCTTCACACACATAAAAAAAGTCAACTTTCATTGGATTTAATGTCATTTTTAAGCCTTGAAAAGGCGTGAGTTGTGGCGGCTATCCTCAAAAAAAAAACACAAGGGGTGATGTGCTATGTCAAAAAAGGGGATCCATAGTCTTGTACTCAGGTGCCATTTTTTTCTTCACATTTCTTTACTCTAGTACACATACCCTCCTTACCTCGATACATTTGTATTTAAAACGAGATTTGTCGTTTTAGCAGTATTGACCTCGTTGCTAGAAGAAAAACATATCCATCCAAAAACGAGGAAACTACCCCAAACTGCTGCTAAGACCAAATGTTCTTCGAATATGACACAAAGCAACTATGGGGTTACGCATTCGATGCCAAGGTAGCTGATCAACGCTTAGATTATCAGAAAAATGCAGAAGGTAGGAGAACTGAACATATAGGCTAGCAGTTTATTTATGTTTGATTTTTTTAAGTCAACTGGGTTTCCGCCAAGACTGGTCTACCACCCCACATATGCGCGAAGCCGAATTCGAGCCAGGGACCCCTAGTACCACTATCGATTTTCCACTCAAATGTGCCAGCGTGCGAGCCACCATCATTCCGAAGAAACTTCTGCAATATGGATAAACAAATATTTTATGGTGAGTTGTCAAAAATAATTCAGTTTGCGTACAAGACGACTTTATGTGATTGATAAGCCCTGAAATTTTATAAATTCCATCTTATTGCCTATAAAACTGTTTCCTTGATAACACTGATTGCATATTTTGACGGGGTAGGTCGGCAAAAATTTTCCGGGACCCTAGGAAGGTCCGTTGATTAGCAAAGGGTTGAAATACTGGACTGGCGAATTTTGAAGTGTGAATTTTTTCCGAGAAAGTAGGCATTCTCGAGACTTTGGGATATTATTGAGGGATGGTTAAACATTTTCTCAACTTTTGGACCATTTGGGCTCTGTGCGAAAAGAGGAGGAGAGTCCAAAACTGCAAAATGTTTTACCTTTCTCCTGGTTTTTCCTCCACAACTTTTTTCCCTTGCGTCCTACGGCGAAAGCATTTCTATAATTTTGTGTGGAGCATTAAATTTGCAACCATTTTTCATATATTAACATGTTTGCATGTCAATTTGTTACCGAAATATGGAGCTTCGAAAAAGGGTTATTGTTCAAATTTTGCAAAAAAAATTATATAAGAGTGAAATGCCCATGGGAGATAAAAGATGGCGAAGATGTTTAGAGCCAAGCTTCTCTACTTTTTTGAAAATTGTATTTTTCATAGTTTTGAAAAAAATACCGCCATAACTCGGTGACAAATTGACATACAAACATGTTAAGTCAAAATCTATGTCTCAGAAATACGTTCCCAATACGGTTTTAATGGCATGGATATCATGTTACTTATTTTCCAACGAGCACTACACAAAAGTCTGATTGAAATTTGTCACAAAAAAACGTATATTATTTAATTTTGTCTTACAAACAGCGGTATCCATTGTAGTCATCCTAGAAGGACATTATGACCAACAAAAAACAGAGCTAGGTTCCCAATGTCCAAACAGAATTTACGAAGCTTGCCTTTTATGATGTGAGATACAATCAAAGAAAATATTACAATCATTTGAAAAATTGGAAATTTGACTCAATACAATACGGCAATCTACTTGAGTAGGTACAGTTAACGTTTGAATTGACGAAAATGCAAAAAAATACAGGGTGGTACATTTAAAAAATACCATTTTTGGTCAAGTTTCAGAAACGGTGGTAAAATTTTTTTTAGTACGCCACTGAATTCTACAGAAAAACACTCGTGCAGTATTTTCCATGGGTAGTAAGATATGATAAGTTTTCGTTCACCCTCTATCTCAGAAACAAACGTAGCTAGATTGATACTGTTTGTGGTACTAAAAGTTTCATAATAAAGTGGCACAGGGCCGTGGAAACTGCATGTCTCTGTCTTTAAGAACAGCTGAGGTAGACTGCAGTCTCAACCTACATAGGACACACTGTACATATGTTACATAGAGGAAGATTCAAACATGAACTTCCGTTACAAACGATTTTGCATCAAAATGGCGGGTTCCTCACTTACAATCAACAAGCAGCTCGTGTCAAATTTGAAGCGAAATCAACGAAAGTGTTTCGTTCCCGAAGCTTTTCCAGGAAATTGATCGTTAGTTTTTTTTGCAAAATCTGGACATATGTCGCCTAGTACTTCACCACGACACTGACTGCTCTTACACACCTTATCGTACCAGATAATTTTTGTTCAGAATGCCATATTACTGCGACCTGAGCCCTAATGACGTTTTCAAGGATCTAGAAGCATTTACCCAGAAGACAATTTCCTTCGCCAAAAGAAGCAATAGAACCTTAACATAGAGTTCAAGTACTCCAGCTTCAGTCTGGAATTACCGTTTTGTACAGTCGTTCGAAAGGACACAGTGTAGGTTTTTTTTTTAATTATAATTAAATCTCGCATCATAAAAGAAAAACCTGACGCTTTCCACCAAAGAACGAAATATGATAATATTATTGACAATACAATGAATCTAGGAAGCTTAACAAATTCCCTTCGGTTTCTTATACATTTAAACACAATAAAATGTTTTGATACTCAAAAATAACACAGCCGTTTCACTCCAAACTTTTCTTAATTTTTTCTTTAACAAACCCATTCGAAATAACAGACTCCCAATTTTCTTTCCGAATTTAATGTTGCATCTACATTATTCTTTTTCTACATCATCACATTCAATCAATGTTTTAAAATCTAATTTTTAAACCCTTTTCACTTTTAACTTATTTAACTATTATAACTTTTCTTTATATAATTTCAATTTTCCTCTTCGTCTCCTTTAATTAAACACTCCTTTGCATCATTTTCTTTCTAGTAGTGGTCTTAATTGTCTTTGCCTTTTTTCTTGTAATTTACCTTATCAATTATTTTTCTGTTTTCTTAATCCCCCTCTTACTCTCACCTTCATCCTTTATGTCCTCTTGAGCTTTAAGTTGTTTTTTAAGGTTTATTAGGCTTCTTTCTAATACCTTGTTATTTAAACATTATTACACATCCGCTTTCGCCCGTTGTGATAGTAAGTTAATGTTAACTGTCCTTATTCAATGTTAATACTGAATAATGCATATTTAATAAAAATAACTTAAAGTTTTCGAATTTCTTTTACGCCAATGAAATGCTTAGATTTGGCTCGCAGATTAGTAAATTTGATAGGTTTGCCAACTTACCTTTCAATTCTTTTCTTCTTTTATACGTCCCCTACCCGAAGATACCCACCTATGATCTTTTTTAATGCGGTTTCACTTTTTAGGCAGTCTCGGGCGATACCTACAACGACACTATTCCAAAACTGATGCGAAAACCGACAAACACAGAGAAACGAGCAACGTATTCGGAGAATGCCTTTTTAGATAGCTGATCAACTCTGCCAACAAAGCGCAACATGGATTTAGGTAAGACAATGAAACAATACATACACGTTTACCTGAATAATTTTATTATTGCTATATGGGGTCACTATTCACACATTGAAACACTGTTATCAACATCCTAATAGTCAACACAATTACGAGATAAAGTATGTTTGTTATAATCCCTTGACGTTTCGATAATTGTAATTCAAATAATAAATTATTATTATTAACACTATCCACAGAACTGTATTTCCTCTATGATCCCAAGGTATTTATGGAATCCCACTATAACAACCTTCGCAGAAAGGTAACTCTAGCAAGAAACAACTGAGTAGCAACAGTAAAAACCAAAAGTCAAAGATAGGATTTTTTGAAATTATACAATAAAAATTTATGATATAAATTTATTTCAAAAGTATTCAAAAAAATTAAAAACATATTCAAAGAATTAAGAACAAGAACAAAATATTTTTTAAGATAATCTTAAAGTGATTCAAAAAACCTTAAAAGTGAATAAAAATTTAGAAGTGATTCAAAAAAGCTTAAAAGTTATTCAAAAAACGTTTAAAGTGATTCAAAAAAGATTAACAGTGATTCAAAAAACTTTAAAGTGATTCAAAAAAGCTTAACAGTGATTCAAAAAACCATAAAGTGATTCAAAAAATCTTAAAAGTGATTAAAAAAAACTTAAAAGTTATTCAAAAAACGATTAAGTGATTCAAAAAAGATTAACAGTGATTCAAAAAACTTTAAAGTGATTCAAAAGAGCTTAACAGTGATTCAAAAAACCTTAAAGTGATTCAAAAAACCTTAAAAGTGATTCAAAAAACTGAAAAGTGATTCAAAAAAGCTTAAAAATCATTCAAAAAAGCTTAAAAATGATTCAAAAAACTAAAAAGTGAATCAAAAAAGCCTAACAGTGATTCAAAAAACTTTAAAGGGATTCAAAAAACTTAAAAGTGATTCAAAAAAGTGAAAAGTGATTCAAAAAAGCTTAAAGGTGATTCAAAAAACTTTAAAGTGATTCAAAAAAGCTTAACAGTGATTCAAAAAACCTTAAAGTGATTCAAAAAACCTTAAAAGTGATTCAAAAAACTGAAAAGTGATTCAAAAAAGCTTAAAAATCATTCAAAAAAGCTTAAAAATGATTCAAAAAACTAAAAAGTGAATCAAAAAAGCCTAACAGTGATTCAAAAAACTTTAAAGGGATTCAAAAAACTTAAAAGTGATTCAAAAAGGTGAAAAGTGATTCAAAAAAGCTTAAAGGTGATTCAAAAAAGTTTTTTAATCACTTAAGCTTTTTTGAATCACTTTTAAGCTTTTTTGAATCACTTTTCACTTTTTTGAATCACTTTTCAGTTTTTTGAATCACTTTTAAGATTTTTTGAATCACTTACGTTTTTTGAATCCCCTTTAAACTTTTTTAAACACTTCCAAGTTTTTTGAATAATTTTTAAGCTTTTTTGAATCACTTTTAAGCTTTTTGAATCACTTTTAAGCTTTTTTGAATCACTTTTCAGTTTTTTGAATTACTTTTAAGTTTTTTTGAATCTCTTTTAAGCTTTTTTGAATCACTTTTAAGACTTTTTGAAGCACATTTGATTTTTTTAAACACTTCTAAACTTTCTTGAATCACATTCATAATTGTTTGATTTTTTCAATAATTTATGGAATTGTTTTGTAATTTTTATCTTTCTCAGGTTTTTGATTTTTTGAATGTTTTAAATTTTTTTTGATACTTGTTTCATTTTTTTGAGGGATTTTCACAAGTATTTTTAAGGGCCTTTTTCACCTTCTTGTTACCCTGATACCCGCCAATCAAGGGATCAGCATACTGAGTGCGGGTCAAAGTGCAGTTAGCGCTTTGATACGCACGAAGGAAATTTAGTTGTAAGTACTCATAATTGACTGGGCTCACAGCTGTCTTGTGTTTTCCAGATTGCTACAAATGGAGTTGTTTCCTTACTGCACCCTTCACTCCACAGAAGAGGATGAGCCTAAAACAAAAAATATAATGTTACATACTGCATTATAAATTGTAATTCAAGATGAATGTGATTGTAATAATAAATTTACTCACCGTCAGAACTGTATTCATTTGCGCATAACGGGATCTCGTTGTGGACGACGATATCCAAAACTCGCATTCCCACCCTGTAAAGAAAGTGGTTGAAAAAGTGGGAAAAACCGGAGCAATTAAAAGTGAAGCCCAATCGTTGCTAGTGTTGGTGTTTGCAAACTATGAAACATAAATTCAGCTAGAGCAGTTTTCAATCACCAATTTTCCAGAGACATCAAGAGATTTTACGCATTTACTTTTGAGCTCGACGGGGATACGCAATTTCTGCTGATAAAATTAAGTTCCTCACCTGCCCTTGTTATGCAGTCGATTCAGGAATACTGCTGATCCAAGGTAACGCGTGGAAGAAACCTCATAGCTCGAAGGTGGTATCACTCCAGTTGCACAAATCTTGGCCAATCATACTGGTGCTCCATTTGGAATTATGGAAATCCAATATGAATATGTGGTAACCTTTTCCAATGCCTCAGACAGCATCGCGATCAATCGATGTCCTCCATCTCCAGAAAATCGCTGATCAAATCGAATCGAATATTTGTTGTTGGCGAACTCCATTCCAAAATTAAGGTTCAAGTTTCCGAACGTAATTTGATTGAATAATGGGGTCATCCCGCCTTCATTTTTTATTTCTGATCCACAAAGTACATTAAAAATAAAAAGACCCGTGTGTCCTCAATTTTTATTTGCGAGTAAAATAAACCCAAAATAAATTATTGAAAAGATGTGTTTTTAGTCCGAATTTGAAACGCTTCAGACTAAATACGTCAGAAACCTACAACCAATCACGTAGAAGTGAGCTGGCAACCTTACGCGAGGGTCTGACGTTTGTCACATTTGAAGTTTTGAGAGGGATGTTTAACTGTATCTAGCACGAAAGTGACAAGTGCCTGTGACAGATGACGCAAGTTATAAATGCCATTCTCCCGCAATATTGCGTTATGTCATCTGAATGGTTCTAGGAGTTGATTGGTCGGGCTTATTACGTCACAGAGCCCGCCACAATCATATAGTTTTGAATAAACCTTTAAAACCGCACATGTTCATTATTTTTTTGTTAATCAGCCTCTATTTTTAAATAAACTTTTACTACTTATCCAAAAAAATGTTTTATGGTTTCAGGTACACGCTTATTAAATTAGAACTGCGGAATTCAACTATACTGTAAACCCCCATTGCAAAAAAAGTCTTCCACATAGTAACCTTTACGTGGACACAAACTGAACAGCACATACACGCAGTTCATTCCTGCATTTACATTAGGAATAAAAATAACAATACTTCTGCAATGTACAGGGTGTTACATATAAAGGCCAGTTATAGCCTTTGCATTTCACCGAAAACCGACTGCCACAATAATGTTCGGGATTTCCTATTAATTTAGCAAGTGTATAACCTTCCTTTTTTTCCAAAAATCGACTACACCAAAATTTCTCGGGAAAACACTTTTTCTTATTAATTTTGCTGCGTAGAATCCAAAACAATTCGTACTTTTTCGATCAGACTTCTCAATCAAAAGTTATGGACTAGAAACCAACTTCGAAAGAAAATTCAAAGGGCTGTAACTTTTGAACTAGTAGCCCAATCTTGGAACTGTTTGAAATTATGGCCACATTCTATAAGAAAAATTTTTTTCCGGGTCGATCTGACACAATTTTTTTTTCTGGCCAAAGAAGGCAGTGTACAACCTTCCTTTTTTACCAAAAATCGACTACACCAAAATTAAAAAAGTTAAGACAGAGAAGAGTACTCTGTCTTAACTTCTTCGCATCCTAAGATATTATGAATGACAATAAACAAAAATGTATACTCTTCACTTCAAAACTAAGGTTTAAGTGTCGTAACAGTGTTGTTTGCAAAAAGTAGCTCTGGGTAAAATACTCCACCATACTTCACCCATTATAGTATGTTATTAAAATAACTATTTTCAAAAACTCACCCTTGTCCCCATGAGTACACGTCGAACGTAATCACTCGATGGTCTATCGCTTAATCGCCAGAAAAGCGTCGGCAATCGAAGGAACCTGATCCCTTTTAACTTTGGAACTGGAACTGGGAGGTGATGCCTCTAGAACAGAATTGCGATCACACCACGGCTCCATCTCCATAAAATCATTGATGATCGAAGTGCATCGACTCCATAAAAATTCCAAACGAAGCATTTGAGTCAACTGTGTTCCAAAGTGGTGTTGGCCAACTCCATTCTCAACTAAACCCTCGTATGAAAAAATGGTAGCCTTTTCTGGCGATTCAAAGATTTGGGATCATTCGATGGCAACCCCTCCATCTCCATAACATCGGTGACTCTAAGAAAATCAATCAGAAGCATTGGAGGTGAAAGTACTTGACGCACCCGTGTATTCTCTTCCAAAGTGGTGTCGGCCAATTCCGTTTTGATTTACGAATCACTTCGTGGCGTGGAAACTTTTTCTAACGGCGAGAAAGCGGCACATTTCGAACAGCATCGCGATCACTCTAGGGCCTACCGCTCGTTATCATAAAATCGTTGGTAACCGAAGTGAATGCCATCAGAAGTAATTGCCCTACTGGACGCACTGTGTATTTCGTTCCAAAGTTAAGTTTTGTTTTCAAAATTAAAGTTTGCGTACGCGCGTATTTATTTGCAAGAGAAAGATGCTACCCCATCGTTCATAAAAGTTTACAAAACTTACCCCTTCCACGTGGAATAAACAAGTTTCATAGGCACGGGGTACATACAACCGCACGTACCTACTGACGATTCATTCGCAAATGATTTACGTTTAGGAATAAATTAGATAATAACTCCGACATAGAGAAACAAAAATAGATGCAAGTCACCTGGCCACATGCCGTATACAGGGCCTTCATACTTAAGTCGGCATACCATTGCTAACTTGATTTGGTAATTATAAGAGATATAGCGTTGGTTAATTTAGTGCACTATTGTGTATTTTTACGATGATTACAATGGTCAAAGCAGAAAACGATCTACAGTCGTATTCTCAAAATATCGACAAAAACGCACGTTTTTTCTAACGAAACACCCTGTATATACCATATCCTCACTAGTTGTGAAGCTATTGACAATTTTTAAATTTCTTGAACGGTACTTTTGATTCGTTAGTTGTTATAAAATAGATAAGATCTTCATGAAGGTGTCAAGTAGGTAATTGTATAATTTTCAGCTTTGCACATTGTATTTTTAAGAGAAAATGCCATTTACATATTTACATATGACATTATGGAATGTCACATCGTGTTCCACTAGAAAAAAGTGAGTTTTTGTAGATATTTTGAGAATCGGTTAATTAATTTCGTAAACAGATGTCGCAGGTACGCGATTTAGATAAAGTTTGTGCGTATTTTAACAAAAGAATAAGGAAGTGGAAAACGGAAATAAAAAGAGGGGAAAGAGTTGTTAAATAGAAGAGGAGATGTTTTCTTCTTTGGCCGTTTGTGGGAAGTCGGGATTTTACCCGCCGGTTATTAGGATTTTCGAATGTGCATACGTGAATTGTTACACGTTTTTCTTGTTTTTAAGGGCCGAGTGGCATTTTTATTTGCAGCATCGTTATTTGGATATTATTGAATAAATTTGTGTTTTTTTATAAAAGAACAGTTTTGTATTAAAAGGAGCCCAAGTTACGGCCCAGTTTCACTTGCGTAGAAAAACCTCCATTTCGTCTCTTTTGCTTCTATTTCTTCTCCGCTCAGCGTGGAGTAGCACATCTAGATACCCCATACTTTACAGACCCAGCAAAACCCTTGTCAAATGAATTAGGTACGGTTCAAATTCAAAACAATGCTTGTATATGTATAAACACAGCCATTTCTCTGGCGACAATTAGGTAGGACCTTTCTTTTAGAGAATAACTAGTCTTTTTATATATCAAAATGACGAAAATTTAAGCCATTTTATTGAATTAATTTTTATTTACTTCTGAAATGCAAATTGTTCAGGAGGCAAATTGTACGAAACAGTAGTTATCCAGTACACAAATTTGACGATTCCTTGTTTCTAACATAGAAACTGTAAGGAATATTGTAAAGATGAATTTAACCTTTTTAATGGCAATTTGAAGTACCTTTATAATAAAAAAGGGCTGGAATTATCACTTGAGTTCTGGACAGCTCCACAACAGTTCAAATACTTTCCATAAGAAATTTTAGTACACTTTCCAATTCCAAATGCCATAAGAAAGGTCTTATTTTTCCATGCAAATTTTTGGTTGAGACATGATTTAGGTGAAAGAATTAAAAAAAAACCACCCATTAAGCGGGGGAGTCTGCTCGTATGAATCGAATATTCGTTCAATGGTCCAAATGATGAGCAATTTATGTGCTACTTTAATTTTATAGATTATTGCGCAGGCCGGTACTGAAATGCCGTAAGGCCAAGGATGGAAAATAACTAGTAAATTAATCTTGCACTTTACGTAAACGGTATACCTAATTAATATACGCAAACGTCAACCAAGTGCTTTCTAAATACTGGTACGCATGTGTTTGATGTTAAGTACTGGGAAATGTAATGGAAAACTTTACGAGAAACCGATGTGCCGTAGGACCGAACTAAACTTAGGGCATTATTTTTACATTTAAGAAAAAAAGCTTCGTTATTAAAATGAAGCTATTATATAGGATAGCTGTTATAATCTTGCTAAACTCTTTAGAAGAACAATAGCAATAGGCGAATTTCCATTGCCATATAACCAATGTCACAGTTGAGTGGCACGTAATGCAAAAATTAGCTGCCATCCAACGTTGAACACTTCAGAATAATAATGTAGCTTTCACAAAAAGAACTATTTTGGTACGTTATTTCTGCTCATATAAAATTCCTTTACATTACCGTTATTTCCTTCTAAAAATGGAAATTAGGTATAAAAATATGGATATTCCTTCAAGGAAATACTGTACCGACATTCTAAAAATAAACGTAAATAGGTATATGAGCTTACAATCAATACTAATATTAAACTAAGCGCAAACATTACTTTTCCTATCACGTTTTGGTTCATTTTATCAACCCCAATTTGGATTTATACCAATGTCGCCATAACTCTAGAGCACAAATGATTAAAAACCTTAATCACATTGCAGAGCCTCGCTTTAATTTGCCAAGAAATCGATTCTGTGTCCCATCCATGTTGTGAGGTATAATAAATTACCATGGGGCCACTACCTAAAAAGGGCGATAACATGGTCCGGACAAATTCGCGAATTTTCCAAACCTGGCTCAGAATAAACGGTAGGGGTTGTGATCGGGGTTAAGCTTAATCAACTTTAAGTTTTATTTTTTTGTGTTACTTTAAATTAAAATATATCAAAGTTTGCGTGACAAAACCCTGCATAATAAATTGATTATTCGCTTTTGTTGTTAACTAACCTTAGAGCTTTTGATCAATAACATTTTCATACTCATTCAAATATTCTCCGGACAACTATATTCGGGTTCTCTCTATTTTGAATAGAGGCGAGTTTGTAAGACGCGAATTCACTCTAAAATTGAGGCTAATAGCGCGCGTTATTAATTCATAAAAATGTAATTAACACGAGACATCAATTTTCAGGACATTCTTCCCTAATGTAAGAAGTTATTGAATACTTTAACTAGAGCAGAGTCCGTATAGAGATAATGCGCTTAAAAAGTTTTTCATCTCGTTATACAAAGCCATAAACTTGAAGCGCCTACCTTAATATTTTACGTCATCTACAGATGTCCGTTGTATTTCCCATTAACGTATTCCTCAAATTCGCGAACACTTATTAAATCCACCCTAAAGTACTTGCGAGTACGAAACGCAACGGAAAAAAGGCAACTGGATACTAGGATGAAAGTTCACAAACACACCACAAGTTGTCCTGCAGCGCTGGCGCCGTAACGTTCCTTATTAACCCTTTATGTTCTTTGTTCCTGAAATAGTCAACAGTACAACACACAATAATTATTACAATCTTCTCATTAGGGAAGCTTCGCAATTGTGAACGCTGGGCTATTGGCAATGGCACTGACGCGTATGATTTTCTAATGACATTATAACGCAAACGATTTACGGAGACGTGTTTTGCAATAAAACGTACATGGACATTATATTGATTAATTAATATCTACTTTAATATAATTGGCATCTCATAACTCATCGTAGTTAATCCAGCCGTGAGTCCCAAGCAATATTGTTAAAACCTGACAAAATCAAGGACATTTACTAAGCTTATCCGTTTAAATAGCTTTATGTAATTTCCCCGTAATAATAACGCTTTAAATGGTAGGTATCAATTGTTTACTGGTACGAAAATGACAGTCTAAGGGATGTTTGCTATTTCCTGTTTCGATCTCGAAAATTTGGTCAGGCCAATCTTTCACCTAAACCTTGATTTCAACATTAAAATTAGTGCGGAAGGAACTGATACAATAAAACTCAATAAATTGAAGAAGCACTGCACAAGAACATGTCAATAAAGTGCATGCATTTCTCGAAGAAAACTATCTTACGAGGTGGCGTATAATGTTTGGATATATCTGCTAAAATCGAGCAACAGTTTGTAACTTGTATCTCAGCTTGATTAATTTCAGGGAAGAATCCCAATCTATTTGCTGTAGTAGAGTCTTCTGATTGATTTATACGAATCGATTGAAATCCATGCTCGAGAAGGACACAGCGTAACGAGTAGCTGCAATTTCTCAAACAAGTGCGTACAAATACAAATAAAACATAAGAAAGGCAACGATTACCTTCATTTAAGAGGAGATGTCATCCAGAGAAGTGAGCTCAGTTCTCGGATTTCCAAAAAATCTGCAGACAAAAGAAAACTCCCAAGCCTCAGAGCTCGGAATGCAAGGAACTGAACAATGCTTGAATGCCTCGCCTTACTCGTAGTAAGCTTCTATAAATCCGGTTACTTAGCCAACCCTTCGGAAGGAACAATACAATAACATAAGTGAGAAATCTCGATCATAACGTTATTAAGCATATGCGTTAAGCAGATTAATTGCAAATGGCGTACTTACGATGAAGAAGAATAACGCAACTATATTCTCCTACTGTAGTGAAAGGGTGAAATTCCATTCATAAATTGATGCGGAATCCCCAATTAACCGAATTTAATCGTCAAATATTAATACATATGAGTGGCGACAATTAAAATCCAATGCGTTTGGTTTCATTAAAATGTGCACTCTTGTCACAGTTGACGAACGAAAGAGGAAAATGTTCAAAATCGAATGCTCTGGTTATATTGAACTCGATAAATACGCATGTGAATTTAGTTGATTGAGTATATTGCTGACGCGCATAAAAAATAAATGCGATGCCCCATGTTGGGCGTGTGCAATGGCCCGACGAAAATGAACCATACACAAACACCTTAACCATAGTTAGCTCTCTTATTTAAATTTTCGCGAGACACATCACATCTGAATCCCAGCACAATGAAAAATTCCAATCCCGACATCAAATTCCAAATTTTATGGCAAATAACGGCCACGATCAAATTCCCTAAATTCCAAATTAAACGAAGTTTTGAAAACGCCTGTAAATACTTTGGGTACGGATCAACAAAATTGATCATAATTAAACATGAGAGGTCTATTTGAATCGTTACAACACACACAATTTGCATGGATTAACACAGACACAATTTTTCTAACACACAAATCAAATTAATAGCAAATTTCTCCCAATCAAAGTGGACTATAACAAATGGGTAACTTAGGGAGCCTTTAATCGTAATGAGTTTTAAACTTTATTGCCTGGTCAGGTGTTGAGAAATAGGTAGTATATTATATACGGAGGGACTAAAGTGTGTGTTTTAATCCCGAGGGTGCAGATTGTTGCCCGAAACGTAATTGAGGGCAACAAGCACCCGAAGGATTAGGACGCACTTTAGTCCTGTGGTATATACGCTATTTTTTGTACTCCGGTAATCAGCTACGACAATTTCAATGTTAAAGTGCAAATTTGAAAGAAAAAATTTGATTGATTGTAGGATCAATATACCTGGTAATGTCAAATTGTGACCGTATAACGATAATGTCAATTTGATTTAAAGATTATAGTTTAAAACTACGACGTACAAATGATCGTTTAAAACTCTGAAGAACAAGCTATAAGGAAACCTACTGCTTTCCAAATTCAAAAAGATATATGGAAAACGGTACAATAAGTGTTAAAAATATGGTCCAAGAATAAATATGTACAATACAGGTAACCATTAATCATTAAATTGTGTTTGACAATTCAGTGTGTACTGTCACTTTTAGTCCCGTGTCGCGTTTTTCTCTCTCAAGAAAAAATTGCACTTTAGTCCCTTAAATGAATTAAAAAACACATTGATTTAGTCCACGGAGTACAAAAAAGTTGTTATCGGACAAGGATTAATTGGTTTTTTGACAAACGTCAAACAATGTCACGTGCGAGATAAGCGATGCAGGTGTTTATGAATTCTGGCGACTTAGATGGAATTTCGAGTGTCGTCAGCAGTAACGAGGTTGATTTTATCAGATGGGGTGGTTTTTCACTTAAAAAGGAAGAATTAAAAGCAAAAGAGGTTGTCTCGGGTTATTTTGAAAGAAAGCGTAACTGTCTGTGAGTTTAATTTTGATATCGGTAGTGCAGGGTATGTAATTTTAAAAATAGAAAACGTAATTTCCTCATGTTAGATAAATAAAACGAAAACAAGTTTAACGTTGTGCAAGAAACTTTTACACGTGGCATTTCGAGTTTAAAAAGTTTGTGTTATCAAGAATTAAAAAATCATTTTTGTAATACAAGGAAAATCTTACCACCCGTGCTTCGAGTCTTTCGAAGTTTATAATAGTTTTAAGTCAACGGTAGTATTTTCTTGTGTCGGACCCAGGGGGACGTTAAAAAAAAGTATAGATGTGTAATTTGAACCACCTTAGGTAAGTGTCTGTTGGGTGGTAGTATAGTGATGAACTTAAAAGATTGGTGTGATTCATAAAAATTCATACAAAAAGTGCAATCCCTGTCTAGTGATCAAGTGTCAATACTAAATTTGAGCCTTAACTAAAATTGATTTTTTCTGGTACATTCTCCTGTTCAATAACATATACCTCTGAATACTAAAGAAACTTTTGACCCAACCAAAGGATTCGTAACACTGAAATTTAGTGAAAAATTTGCAATCAATAAAGCAAAATAACCCATATCCTTTGTTTGGATTGGATTCGACAACACAAAATCTGTTTCATGCATATAATTTTCAAGGGAGGATACCTTTAGGAATATAAAAATTACTTCAAACAAATTTAATAAATTCCTAAAAATAATCGACCAATACTTAATACAAATCAAAAAATTTAAAATAACTTACATGAGTTGGGTAACATTCTCTTCTCTCCTTGGAAAATGCCTCCTCCTTTAGAAATACGGAAACTTCGATGGTACAGTTGATTTTTTAAACCATCCTGATGACGTTATGTGATGAATGCAAAGTTTGCGGAAAAAAGTTCGTGCGAATGGCGAATGCAAATCGACTTCAATTTCGCCAAAGTAATACTCGAGATTGTGATTATGCAATAATAAGTTAATGGTTCGCTGGGTCGATAATACGAGTACTTTTGCCGAATTTATGAACTAGGTCTTGTTGTGGTCAAAATGCATCGATTATTGTCTTTAAATTCATTGCTGTATATGAAATTTTGTTTATCACTCTTGTTATTTTTCTTTCGACAATTTTGCGGATAGGTATATTTTAAAGCCGTGTTCGGCTTCTTACTTCTGACTTAGGTACTCTTTTCTTCATTATTAACTGCCGGATTGTGCTTTCCACATCGATATTCCTGAGTGGAAACCGCCGAATTTTGGATTTTCTGAAAATTGCGCACGGAAGATTTATTTGGGGAGGTCTGCCGCCATCTTATCAAATCAAGAACGCAACGCGATGGATGTTTCCACCTTATTGGCTTACGTGGAATTGGGTTACCTACACTTCTAATTTGTTTCGCAATTGTAACTGCAAGCACAACGAAACCTGTGTGGAGAATAAAGATCTTGTAAATCTTTCCTTTACACCTGATACTACGTACTTTTTTTGTCACTACCGATGATTTGACTTTACCGAAATCGAAACTCGCTTTTGTCCACGTTACTTTCAGATTGCTACGAAGATTCATTTCTCTTAGTTTGATTACATTGTATCCGTCAGATTAGCTGTGTTATTTGAGATAATAGCTACCGTTGCTTTGTTAATTAGTTTTAAAGTTACCGAGGCTTTGTCCAAAGCCGAGAAGTTTTAGTTACGTTATTTGTTTTACTCCAAAGGACAGGTTCGTATTATCTTGTGTATTTTTTAAATTGATCAGATCAATAAAAATTTAGTTATTTGTGCATCGTACTTTTTTAAATTTAAGGGATAACCCTGTGTTAATCAAAATTTTTCTTTTGCTAGTGTAATGATTCGAATTATTGATTCGTATTAAGTATTAATTGCAGTTTTAATATCAGATTACCTCCGTGTCAGACGTTAGAATTGTTATTTCCCAATATTTTATGTGCCGCGCTATTCACTACCTCTCTTATTTGTTTCTTTCTAGGTTTGTTTGCTGTCGTCCCGTCATACTTAACTTTGAGGTATAATTGATATTTATTGGTCGATTTATTATTGCCAGACGCAAATGTGTTCATTAACCACGTATCGAAGAATGAACCACCATTTGCTAATGGTTAGAGGTATCTAAATCAACCAAATCAATCATCCAAATCAATGAATGCGGATTGAATTTCTCCTGCTAATAAATTTACATTACAGCATAGTGTACACAATTCGTTTTGGAAAGTTTTACAATACCCGCTGCAAAATCTAATGTACGTGAAATAAAAATGACTGATATGCTACTGTACATTTTCTGTAATTCAATATATTGATGTACTGATCATGTAACAAATACAAAATAAAGTTTAAATTCCTACATCACATTTCCAATTTAATTAATTACCTAGATTTTCAAAGATTCGTAATTAATTTAGCACCTCTGGATTGTAAATAAAATTTAGCCCACACAATAGAAATCTATTATTTCAAATTAAACTTCTCAATTAACAAGAAAAAAATGTACCAATATCTTTGGTTGGGATTCAGTTATCATTCTTAAAAAAAACACAAATTTGTTCACAGGATAAATTCCCGTGGTTCGACCTCTCCAGAAATTTAGAATGACTTTAAACATAAATCTTTTTTATAAAATTCCCAAAAATCGACTCCTATGGTTACACAATGCAAAAAATTCAAAATAACTTACATTTATCGATGTGTCAAAATTTGTTCCAGTCGACAGTTGATTTTCACAATCGTACCTTTTGTATCGCCAGGTAAAAATTTGGTTGACGAATTTGATTCAGGAATAAACCGTGCTTGTTTATTTAGTTTTTTAGTTTTAAAGTGGGGAAATGTCCAAAATTATCCTTATAACTTAGAATTTTAACCTCCAACCAAAGCACGAATTAATTGTCTTTAACTCTTTTACCGGTTGTCATTTTATGTAGATCTAATAACACCCCACATACACAAGAGAGGTGTATAGTTTTGATTGACAAATTCGTTTTTTAATCGTGTAACCGTTCTAAATACATCACCAATGAACGTTTTGCGCTTTCTACCCAAAAGCTTTCGTGGTAACAATCGCAACCCGCAAATATTCACGTACGAATTAACAAAGTACCTAACATATTCGCACTGTATTTACAGTTGAACATAAATCCGCTGTCCATTAGTTTCCACTACACGACGAAGTTTCCTTGTCGCATAAAAAACGCCTCTTATTATTGGTTTTGTTCGAAAGGGCAGTTCATGACTGCACGACTAAAGATTATTTTATATAGTGCGATTATACGGCTTTCGGTTGGAACTTTTAATTAACAATGAAATTTCACACGATCTCAAAAATGGCGTACACAACTCCCCGAACTTTTGACTGAAAGTAGCTTTCTCCCACCCAATTTTTACTTATGCACTCGCCGAGATCGAATGTTGAAACGACCCCAACTAAATCTAAGCGTTGAATCTCTTTTTTATACACGTGAAGATACAGCAGAAATACCGTCCCTCATTTTCCGCCACGGCGGATTTTAAAACCGGCAACACTGTAGGGTTTCAACTGCTTGCACACTCGTTTCTTATCTAAACGCCCTTTACTTTCCTGCATATTAGTTCCGTAGGTATAAAGGACTCTAGGAGATCTTGAAAACCTTTCAAGACTTTTGAGGTCCTTAAACGCTATTAAAACGCTCCTAAGGGCTCACAAAAGATCTTTAAGGTTCCTAAACATTTTCAGACCAACGCCATTTACGGAACTTTGTAGGCCTTCCTATCTCAGGAAAAGACCGAAAATGTTATAAAAAGCTCTGTAAAAGGTCCAAGGGTTCTGAAAGTAGGGTAAAAGGCCCCATAAGTGTTTTTCCTACCATTCTAAGGCGTTCCAAAGCAATTTAAATCATCGTCGTAATGGACGTTTTTAGAGTGTTTATGCCCTTTCAGAACCGGGCTTGTCTAGCTCAGGAGAGGATATAGAAGGTTTTCGAAAACTCCTTAAACGAGTCTTTGAAATGGCTTAAGGGGCAGTTTCAGAACAGGGCATGCGAAGGCTTTCCTATAAGGCGCTCTTAAGGGTTTTTTAGGAGTATAAATGGGGCATTTTAGTACATAGACATTCAGTTAAATATTCCAAATTGATTATTTTGTGTCCCCCGGTTAAAATAGTTAATGCTTTTTATTTTATTAGAATGCTGTACAGTTAATAAAGTATTCAATTTCCAACAAACCATCTTTTAACGAACGTAAGCTTTACTATTGATCCCCTTTGCAGTTGACCTCTCCTTCAGCATCGTTGCGTGATTACCATCGACAACGGTCACTTCGGGATTTTGCTGGCAGTACTGTAAAGTCGATTTTTAATGCATGAACGTAATAAATGGTCAGTTACCTTGGTAATTCCACAGACGTCATATTGGCTCGCACCACTAGGTCGTAATATACTGATTGGTCCCACTAATAGATCATCAGAAGGCTGATAGGCTAAAATCGCGTTCACGTACTTTTTGAATGTACTCAGCGTCTCGCTTAAGTATTCCTTGTCCTCCTCCGAGCACTCGTAATGTTTCAGGGCGTATTTGAGACGTAGCTGCCACCCTGACAGCGTGCTCAAGCTTTTGACGATCTGCGAGTGAGGGTGGTTACAGAAGCGGCTTGCGCAATTAACGCACTTACATCGGGGTTGGTTAAGTTTAAGACACGGCACAGCAGTCCGATCTCGTTGTTTGACCCTTCACCCAAGTGTTTCAGAATGCCTTGAATTGTATCCGGGGCGCCATCCACCAGGTGAAGTTTAACTCTGCAGTTGTGGCGCTCCAAGCACTTCGCCACTTCAATTGCGAAAGGTCCACCGTAGGAGATGCCGATGATGTTGTAGGGGCCTCTCGGGTAAATTTGCTTGATCCTCTAAAACACACGGGTTACGGTTTCGAGCTAGGTTTGCGCTATAGGCGTACCAGGGCAAGAGTTTGGGCCGCTTCCGACACGGGAATGATGCTGTTGGGGTAATTTACGCAGAAAACTGGATGTAATAAGAGCAATGATAACTCAACGGCCGCCCGTCTTTGGAATAGTCCCGGGAACATGAAGACGGGAGGCGAGTCCCTTATCACCCTGCCGCACAGAGATGGATATTGCTCGAACTCTATACCTTCAGGTGCTGTGCACGTTTCCGCTTTCATTTCAGAAATTGAGTGGGGCAATAAGAGGTTGAGCTCTGAAAACGGAGTCATTATTGGAAACACTGGGGACGGTCTGCGTACTTTTATACAGCGATTGCGAATTCTCCTGAATGACGTCCTTCAACCGGTCGGATTTGATTAATATGTTCCTCGCTTTAAATGTAAGTATCAAATCCAGAGATTTGAGTACGTCTGGGAATTTTAAAAGGTTCTCCCAAGCGATATTATGTGATGGGAAACCTGCGTTCACGCGCAGTTCACAAATTCCGGCAGCGTCTTCAACGAAGTTGATAAATTGGGTTTTCGGTGCCATAGACTTTAAACAGGATTCCAAGTTAAGTATCGCGTTTACCGCAGACTCTCCTGCTTTAACACGCGGTAGTGTGAATACGGCTTGAATTTCCCCAAGCGAGTACATTTCGGACAAAAGACCAGCCACCTCGTCTTTGTTTTTGGCATTTTTCTTTGAGAAAACAATTGTCGCGTTAAAAGACGACTGTAACAGCGAGATGCGACGATGCAAATGCATATCTTCAGGTGTGCGGCCGTTTGTGGCCAAAACGATTTTTCTGGCCCCCCTGAAAACTAACCACTCCAAAAGGTCAGTGTACATCTCCGAACTTCCACCTGTAGGGCCTTTCATTAAATTTTAAACTACACTCTGAGCACGTACCGTATATTAGGTAAGACCCGCTGGGATTGCACATGTATTGATCCGTCTTGCTGATGTTAAATTGTCCTATAGCTAAATTATCTTGGAGTTTTATCACAATTTTACCGTTGTATTCGACATCCTTCAGTTTCCTGAGTAAACAGCGCGTAAATGATAGGAATAACCACAAAACACTAACCTTAAAGACGACGCAATATCTTGATGTTCGACAATTTCTCGTTTAATTGGTCGAACAACCAAGTCCTCCAATCCTTTGGTGACATGTGCCCGTACCTCCTCTTTAACATCGTCAGGTTCGTCGAAGATCTCTTCCGCGCATACGCCGGTAATTGAGACGTTCTTCAAAAATATGCTCATTCCGATTTCGTTATTGTCCTCACAGTCGATCTTTCCCATGTGATAAATTCGTCCAAACTCCGCAACGCAGCGAAGTGTCGCGCTTAGCATACTTCCCGTGTAACAATTGATGATAACGTGCGCTCCTACGCCGCCCGTTGCCATCAGAAGGTGCGGCTCGAAGGAGGTGTTCATACCGTTTAGCACATTTCGGTCAATCAGCTAGATAATGCGGGTTATCCTCTTGATCGTTCGGATATTTGTCTACTTACGAATTTGTACTGTCGCCTAAGGTAGGCCTTTTGTACATCTGAGGTGACGGTGGTAAACACAGTGCACCCTATGGCAGAGGCGATAGAAATTGCCGCGTAGCCAAGGGGAGAACATCCGTTGTGTATCAAAACAGTTTCGCTGGGTTGTGTTCGAGCAAGCGTGTGAAGCACATAGTAAGCCTAAAACAGTGGCGTTATTAACAGGTCTTGCCATCCACCTGGAAGATCAAATAATCGGCAAGAGTAATTAAACAAATTAAAGTTTGCTGTTCGGCTGTCAATTATTTGTAATTGGGAATGGAAATAAGTTCGCTAATTACTTAGCTGAAAAGGATTAATTAATTCCTTCTCTTATAATTGACTCATATTCTAATTTTATCACTTGAGGTGTTTCAAAGAAAGTTATACTGATTTAGGTGGGTTTACTGCTGCTGACGATAGGGCCAAATAGTGTCTGAAAACAGGCCATTATGTCAGAATTGGTTCTTTAAACCGCAGGCAATTTCAAGCCTTAATACCAGTCCGAGTTTCCGTGGTCAGCCGGTGCTGAGTACTGCCATTTATGCGCTCGCTCGTAGTAGACCCAAAAATTAAGGGCTCAGTCAACGAAAAGAGTGAGCATAAGCTCGCCCCACGTTTATCGGGAAAATGGCATACAAAGCCAATAAAGTCTGGCTCAAAGGAGTAGGGAGCATCCATCTAAATAAATGACAGAAAACTCGGAACCATGAATGTTAATATTGTTAATGTTTCTATGGTTTTCGACATTATTATTACTTATATAGAGGTTGTCATAATGTATGTTTCATTAAAAACAAGAAGCGTTGTTGTTATTTACAACAGAAATACCCATTGTCTACGTTCTAAGAAACCGCGAGTCTGTCCTTCGATGCAGCCCTTACCGAATTTAGTAGCAATTTGGCCACAATTTTTTTCTAAATGACAAAGGCTTGAATTTCCAATTTATTATGTTGGTACAAAAATGCCACTTGACCATTCTGGAACCCCCATACGCTTTCTAATTGGCAAGGGAGATTTATAGTGAAATGTTTGGATGGATTGTAAATCGAAAATGAAAATTAAAATGTTAATTAAAATGATAATTAACCTGATTAACCTTTGTCTCTGTGTTACTTCAAATAAAAGAACTGGCAGACGACGATCTCTAGAATTGTAACTTAAATTACCATAAGACAAAACGTAAAATCTAAGGTCCTAACACTATCATGTAGCCCATCTAGGAGGTCTGAGTGTAAGAGAAGCCCCCAAGGAGGTTTTACAATATCGTTTCGTATACCATTTTGATTCAATGAACCTCATTTCAAAATAGTGAAACTTAAGTTTTTATAGAATGTTACCATTAAATTTCAACGTAATTTAATCATCCGTTTTAGGTCATTTCAAGCAACTTTTAAAGACTGAATTTGTTTTTGGTAATTTCCCCAGTACGGTTCGACGGATTTTGTTCAAATTTTGTATATGTATAGTAGGCACACGGAAACGAAATATAACGGGCCGAATTTTTATTGCTAATTTAGTAATTGTTTAAGTCATTTAATTGTATTTGTTGTTCTTAATGAGTACCTATCATAAATTTTAGAACGCAAAATAGGGGAATATTTCGACGTAAGGTAAAAGTTTTATCTGGTCCGATGTTTTGTAAAATGGCCTTACCGGAATAATTGATTGACCTTGTTTACTAACAACGCCACGTGCAAGATAACTTATGCAGGTGTTTGCAGTTCGGGCAATGGAGGTGGGAACAGCGAGCGACGCGACGACAAAGAACAACTTATGAATGGAGGTGGTTTCACCTTTAAATAGTAAAACTAAGAAATAAATGAGGCTGTTTAGTTTCGGAACGATTGAAAGAAGCGAAATTTTACACGCAAATTTCGGCAGATGAAGAAGTTTGAGGTTTTGCAGTTACGGATGCGGTTCCGCAGTTAAGAAGTTATTAGTTATTCTCTTGAAATCCCTTGAATTGGTTTTTTTTTCCGTTCTACAAACACAGGATTATTTTTTGGCTGTATAATTGTAGGATGTTTAGGTGTAGAAGTTTGCGAAGATTTGCCGAGGAAAAGTTTGTAGGGTTTGTTTTTGCTATTTAAATTTGATTACGATGTTTATTATAGTAGTCTACACAAATGTTGATTGCAAATGACAATTTTTTTCGATCCTACTAAGCTCAATGATTGTGTAAACCCGTTTAGAATATCTGGATGGATTTTTATATTTGTTTCATTTTTTTCAGTGTTTTAGCCCCAAACTTGTATAATTTAGCCACAAAAATAAGTAATTCAGTCACATATAGTTTTTGTGTCACTCTAAGCTCTTTCAGTGCGGTTTACCTATCACTTTGAGTCATTGACGGTTTAGGTGACTGGACTATCTATCCTTTTGCCTTGCGCAAAACGGGAAAATTATGGTTAACTGCTTAATTAGTGATAAGAGGGGGAGGGAGCAAATCCCTGGAGTTATTACCCACAGACTCCACTTCCTCCACCGATATCCACACAAAATCCAGTTTCTACCTTTGATCTGGTGCTAACTGTGCACCCAATTTTATACCTTGGGGGGGGGGGGGGCAGGTAGTTAAATAGGGTTTGTTGTATCGTTTAACTCGACCGTAAAACTGTGATCAATTTCCTTTCAAAGACTATGCAGACCGCCTGTGTGGTCATTTTCTTCTAAAAGCATTAGTGATATACAGGGCGTTAGTGTCGGCTGGGACAGGTATCTTCCCGATAGCCTGAAGAACCACACTTGCGTTAAACGACGGCAGGTGTCTCCTCTATTCCATTACGTACCACAACCACTACTCATATCTAATCTTCCAGACTATAGGATGAATTACGGGGTAGGTAGTGTTAGTAGGGCAGATTTTAATTAGAGAGATAATTTTAATGGGGGAAATAAGAGATTTGTTTATGACGACATAGGCAGAATGAGTCGCTCTTCTCCCGAAGAATATGAATGAAACGAGTGAAATAATAAGAGCAATGAGACAACGAATTGGATGAGAAATGGACTCCACGAATAAGAAAATGGAGTCGCAGATGACGCAATTAAAATCGACGGAATTGAGGTTACTTAATAGGAAAAGTGAGGAAGCAAAGACTGAAATAAGTGAAACACTAGGTCGTATGTTTAGAAGAAGGAAGAGGGTAGGTCAGAAGTTGAACCCGATGGAAGATGTGGAAGAGAAGAAGGAGGTGCAATAGATTAATAAAAGTAGTACAAAAAGTAATTTAAAGGAACTGCCCACTCGAGGAGGGTAAAAAAGAGGATAGGTAACAGAATCGCAAATGGTGTAGAAGAAATAGTTGAGAATTATAAAGAAGAATTTGAAATTAAAGTTGAGGAAGAGGTTGAAGTCAAGGAAGGAATCGAAATTGAAGAAGTTTATAGCCAAGGAAATTTTATAAAGAGGAAGAGATTCAAGTTGAAGTACAGGAGAAAGTAGAGAAATGAGTTAAGTTATCTAATTGTTTTATTGCAGAAATTTTAAGGGAAATGGAGTTGAAGTTAAGATCGTATTCGATGAATTATAGGAAGTTTGTAATTGTAGGTGATAATAGGGGTTTGAGGTATTTAATGAAAATGCGTTTTGCGAGGGTAGAATTTTGCAGGAAAATTGGTGTGAGAAGTACGTAGAAACGTAAGTTAATTGTGAATGTTTTATCAAAGAACGGAGTTACGAAAAAATTATGAGAATTTATCAGGACTCGTGACTAGTGTATAGATTCATTATTTGAGTAATTGAATAAATTAGAAGAGAAGAAAGGTAACAAAATTTAGTAACTGAGAAACTACGTGCTTATTTAATGTATGGGATTTTTCACGAAAAACCCTCGGTAAAGTTAGTTTGGTGCAGATAAAATAATGCACGTGTGCGTATCTCGAGAGAAAGAATTACTAGACGAAGGTGGTGTTTCGTTAAATACTGCAGACAAGGAAAGAACGCTGCTGCTAACTGGCTGGTTCGGGACGGTTGGAAAAGGGTGTACGTCACATTCACAATATTACTGTGAGAAGTTTAAAAAGCGTGTTCCATTTTACGGAGAAAGTTTCATCGAGTTAAAATTAAAAACAATCAGTTTAGTGTCAAATGACAAGTCAACTAGTAAAGTAAAGTTTTGAAACGGAGTTAAGTGCGCCAGTTTATCGCAAACTTATTCATGACCAGATTTTTTAGTATTCTTACAAGAGAAAAAAGGTAATGTAAAAATGTTTAATTGTCGTCCGTCTGCGTACGGGGTATCATGTAAACACCCTTTGTAAGCTTCTATTTTTTCAGGAATTTTGTTTGTATTTCTATTTAATGTGTTTCGGAATAAATTTGTATCATTGTCAATCAATTATGTGTTTATTGGAATCCATGTTGGTATCCAAGATTTATTTCAGATGTTGATTAAAATATATAAAAATAAGTTGATAGACGCCACTGAGTTTCCCAAATTATTAATTTTAGTCAATATTAGGATCTTCCTTTGTGGCAGATGCCGTAAAGTGTAAGAGGAGAAATTATAAAAATAACATTCAACATCTGAGCCATGTTGGCTTGCCTCTAACTAACTGAATCGTGATAAAAAAATGCCAAAGTCGCTATTCCTTGATCGATTTCCGTGTACTTTAGCAACGACATAAGTTATAATAAAGTAGTCAGCACGAATTATGTTTAATACATACCATGGTATAGGCATGCGGTATGGTAGCACCATCCTGAATTGTCCAAACTGACGGGATGTTCCATTTCAGAATTGGATCAAACACTAATTTGCTAAATTCCGTATCGAATCTGGCCAGGCCCATTACTTCCTCGCCTGCGCTGTTTACGCCGGAATAGTCGATGTTTCCGAGCTCTGCTTTGGGCTCGCCCTCTAGGAAAAGTGTTTCATCGTACACGTTCAATCCCAGATAGTCAATTCGGGTATTCTCCACAATGTTGCTGCAACCAGATTAAGACATGGAGTTTCGAAAATGGCAGAAATTTGAGTACACGCAAGTGACTGTGAGAGAAGAAGATTTTGAAGAACAACGAGCTAAATATCATAATGAAAATGTACGTTATAAAACGTTACCTTATTGTAGGTGGAGGATTTTTAATGTCGTCTTTAAATGCTGTTGGAACAGACACGTAGGTGTAAGTAGTACCATTTTTGGCGACAACCAATAGCAAATCTTCACGAAAAACGTGTTGATAAATCGCCTCTTTAACCGAGAATGGTGGCATCTTCTTATCCATGACGAATACAAACCTGGCGTTCTTCATGTTTGGCAGTCCTTTAACGGCACTTACAAAGTTGGAAATTCCTTCAAATGGTAGCACGGAACATGTCAGGTAAACGCGTTTATTTTCGGAACTTTTGGCTGCAAGTGCCGATTTGAATTCTGTTACCCAGCGTTGGTCGTCTCGTTGAAGATCGGTTGAAGACAAAGAAGCACTATCTACTGTAATTATGGAAGCATCGACCTTCGCGCTCTGAAACGAAACACGAATGTACTTTTGCCCAAGTCAAACTATTGGTACCTTGCGCAGCAGCGAATAGGACTCCCCCAAAACAGAAAACTGAGCAACCTCTACTAAATCGGCAGAAGTCATATTACTTCCTCCAGTGCGTGCCAGCAGAAACGCATGTGAAGACGTCACCAACTTCACGCAGTCTTCGTTGACCTTGTCGTTAATTATAACCAGCATTGGATCAGTTTGCGATATGAGCACCATCTTAGCATCTGTGACTGATGAAATGTTCGCCTAATGCAAAAGTATAAGGGTTCATTGAAGGATTTACTAAAGACTTACGCTAATGTGTGTATGCTGACTGGTTACATTTTTAATATTCTGCTCGAATGTCCCATTTTTGGTTTCGACTTCAACGATCATGATGTTAGAAACGTGCCGATCGACGAAGTTTTCCAAGACCAACTGGAAGCTCAAATTGATACCGCTTTCAATATTCTAAAAAGTGTTCGTGAGCAAATTGGAAAGTTCTGAGCATGTGCAACCTTATATTCCACATTGGTGAGTGGTGTTAGATCTATGGAATCAAACGTTACCGCTTTGTTCTCAATTTCTATGGCCCTAGAGGTAACTCCACATATTTGGATACCTTCCGTTGAGATCACCTTTGTATAGTAGTCGTAGACAACTTCCAGCTCTACAAATTGTGTTAGGTAAAGACGTGGAGTGTACACAAATACCTGTTGGTTCTGTGGGCAACAGTGGAATGGACATCACAATTCGTTGTATGGTAGACACTCGATGGATAGATTGATCTTTTTCTCCGCTCTTCAACAAAAATTGCTGTAGCATACCCTCCATAAACTGTGACCAGCTATTATTCCACTTAATCTTCCCAATAGAACCTAAGTCAGACTATTACACACTATCAGAGAAAATTCCAATCACCTTCTTCAGACATTGTTACTCCAAGCATCGCCTTGTAGATGTTAGTGTACGTATGTCCTCTATGACTGAATTCATTGTAAATATCCTTACTGGTCAACGTCATGGCTTTATCATCAACATCAATATTATACATTTCCGCGAATAACCTTTCCGAATCTGGTGTCCTGATAACACCAGTTCCCACCAATTGATCACCGGATGAAATTTCAAATTCTCCACTTCCTTTTTGAACCATAACATACAATGGTATGCTACCTAATGGTCACTAATCAATTTAATCGGTTAGAGAACGCGGGGGGTCTTACCCATTTTAGGCACGGTCACCATATTTTTAAATTTCAAGTTTTCGAAGATGACATCAGATATCTTCGTGATTCTTGTTCCGGTGAGGATATCGTAGAGAAACGCCTACAATATGCGGTTAATCGTAAGTGGAGTAGCTCGAATACTTACTAAGTATGTGGAAGTGGGTATAATGGTAGTTTTGTTGAGTTGGTGAGCGTTTAAGTAGCGGTATTCGTCATTGCTTAGCGAAATGGTTAGGTCTCTGACACTGGCCATATAGTTCAGCTTGTCTTCCAAGCCGGCTCTCCATTTCTCTCCATGCTCCCAGTGAACTAGTGGAGTTAGACTTTTGACGCCTTTGGATACTGGGTACTTTACGGTTGGGTATATGGCCGGAAGGTACGTGTCGATGCCGGCAAGATACATTCTGAAACGTAGTCTAAGACAAATACTAGTTTAAAGTTCACGTACTTTCCAATGGCCGACAGCAAGAATTTTACTCCATTATCGCTTGAACGAAGTGTAAGTGGAATGTTAGTACAATTCCCTTTCAGTGAACGTTTGAGAATTGCTTGTAAAAGTCCATGTGGCGCAATTTCGATTACGATTGCGTCCTTGGGAATGTGCCGACAGCCTTCTTCGAACAAAACTGAACTGAGAAGGTTATTAGTTTGGTACTCTGCAGAACAGGTTTTGGCCAAGTCGGTGTCCCATTTATCTTCCGGTACCGAAGTACTGATCCACTTAGACGAGCGCGCTTTAGGCTCTGGAATAACTTTTTTAAGATTTTCTAAGAGAAGTGGAGCTGCCGGTTTAATGTATCTGCTGTGATAGGCGATATTTGAGACGTTAACGAGGCGTGCAAATATATTTCGATCTTGCAGTTCCTTGACGTATTTCTCCATGTCTTCTTTAGGACCTGATAGTGTGCAACTATCCGGGCCATTGTGGCACGCGACCTCAATCGTGGGGGGACATTCGTCCTTCATTTGCTGGTATCCTTTGCCAATAGCGGCCATCATTCCCGTAATCAAAGTTGCATCCAGTGACGCCTTTCCTCGTGAGTATGCGCACATAATCATCTGCTCCTTTGTAAAGCACCCATCGGCGTAAGCACAACCTAACTCTCCCACCGAGTGCCCAATAATACCATCCGGTACAATACCAAGAGCTTTCAAAGTATCAGTCAGGCCAATCTAAAAACTTACGTGACAACTACTGCAATTAGTCTTTAACAACCCCTTACTTGAATTGCTGCAATTCCCACAAACGAATGCAAAATGTTGTCGAAAATTTTTGGATCATCCTCCGTTACAATTTTCATTAGGTCTATACCTTTGGGCTTCAATATTTCGTGACATTCATACATAGCTGACGCAAATATAGGCAACTCCATTAAATCTACTGCCATTTTACACCACTGACTTCCCATTCCGGAGTAACAAAACCAGATTTCTCTTTTGTTTCCAGGATAGTACTAAAACGCCTAGTTACAACGTATAATCAGTGCACCAGAAATACCTCAAATTCGGACTTGCGTTCTTCTTTTGGTTGGTCTAAGATTGCGTATCCTCTATACAAGTGTCCGGCGATTGATTTTTTGAAAGACTCGTGAATCAGTGCCACGTATTCAGGATCGATTGTCTCTTCCGATTTCAGCTGAAGAATATTTCTCACTTAGTTTCGCGATTTATTACGAGCAGCTTACCGATTCCAAAATTGCTTTGATCCCGTCCTCGGTTCGCGTTGACAGGCAAACCACCCTAGGTATATTGTCCGCGGGTGCTTTGCCCACTTTTGGGTTAGCCCTGATCAAAATATGCCCATAAGACGAAGCTAGCCCAATTCCGTTGATCGCCATTAGCCCCCCTTCCCATTTTTTATTCTTCGTGACAACCTCCAGTCTTCCCTTCACCAGTCCTTCGATGTTCGGGTTCGGCGTTTTGTAATTTAAATTGGCCGGAATGTACCCGGTTTCCGTAGCGACCAGTACCTTCGCAAGGCTCATTAAAATCGCCGAGGCTTCCGCGTGGCCTGTGTTGGGCTTTACAGATCCGATCAGGAGCGGCTTCTGTCGATTCTTGCAGTATACACGATCAATTGCTGTTAGTTCGGCCTCGTCTACTTCCTGAAACGATTGTTTTTAGATTCCGAAGTTCTTCGTTTCCAGGTACCTTTTGCCCAGATCCGTAACATTCTACAAACTCAACTTCTTTGGGATCGACTTTGCACTCGTCGTAAAACTCGCGAATAAAGTTGGCCATGGCGTCTGTGTTTAAATCGCGAAAAGCGCCTTCTCTGTTTCCGTTAAATCGTGAGTTAGCTCCAAGGATTGTGGCATAGGAACGTTTTGCATCTTCCTTCCGTTGCAGTAGAAATACTATGACTCCGTCACTCCTTCCATAACCGTTAGCTGCAATGGAAAAGTATTGGTTTATTCAATATTTCTCATCAGAAGAGAAAAAGTGTTGAATGACTTGGATAAAATGCCAAGGATCATTCTATTGTTGTCAGACGAAACAATAACCATGAAATTGGTCTTGACCTCACTTCCTCATGTAATCGAAGTTGACTTACCATCAGCATCGAATGATTTTGTTGATCCGTCTGGAGAAAGTAACCCCATGTCATTGTAGATCCAGGATAATTCCGAATTTAAAGCCAAATTGGCAGTTGCGACTATAGCCGCTTCGCAATGGCCATATCTGATAGTGTCATATCCTGCTTGTATAACTTCAATGCCATTGAGCCAATTGTTATCATAAGCGCAACTGGGACCTATAAGCATTTGTGGTTAGCCTAAGTTTTCTGATGATCAATTGAGACCTTTCAAGTTGAGCCAATAGGAGACACGATTTGGCATCATAGACCTGGAGTGACCGGTGATTCCAAAACCGCTTACAATAGACTCGTAAAACAAATTGTCGTTCTCTCCAACAGACGAACCTGCGTATACTGCAATCTTCTTCCCTCTAATATCCAACGGGTTTACACCTAGGCATTATCGCGAAAATGACAAAGGTAATTCAAGACGGTCACAAACCTGCATCGATTAACGCCTCAAAGGTACGTTCCAAGACCAACCGTTGCATGGGGTCCATAAAATTACTCTGCTCCCTGTGTATACCAAAATAAGAGGCATCAAAGTGTTCAATGCCCTCAATTGTACCGATAACATTGGTGACACCGCGCTCCCCTTAATCCCAAAGTTAGCAAAACAACCCTTATCCAACATTCAAATCTTACCCGCCTTCCATCTCGATCCTTGCAAATTTTGATTACTCAGCAATCCCTTCTTGAACTCCTCAATATTGTTGGCTTTGGGAAAATGGCCCCCAATACCAGAAATGACCACATCGTAGACACTTTCGAGCTTCATTTTTCAAGGCACAGTCGATCCCTTTGGGTTACACCTGAGTAGATTCAAGAGCAGAACGTACGCGGTATTTATAATAGAATAATAGACATTAATTTGCATACAAACACAATTGGTGAAATAATTGAATAAAATTGATTTGATATTCCAGATTATTCCTGCCCCTTAACCCTTACGAAAATAATGAGAAAGCAAAGAATCTTGATAATTAGTTAGTAACATTTACACGCAATTTGCGTTTTACGAAGTAAAACGATTTAGGTGTTATATGCATGTCATATGAATATTTTATTAGACGTATGAACGAAAATGAAATTGTAGCGTGGAAATAATGCATTAGAAATAAACGTTGTAATGTAACAAGCTATTTATGCACAAACAAAACATAAAGGACGTAATGCATATGTATAGTTTCACGTTCTTTATACATTAATTGTAATGAAATTAATACGCATCAGCTTACAAAGCTCCTTGGCCTAACCTAAATCGTGCATGCATGCCATAAGTACGGATTTCCAAGAGAGCTTCCACGAAAATTCCTCGATTTCAAAGATGGTTTTTATGGATGTAGTTTAGTGTTTTGATCAATAAATCGCCATAAAACGATTTTAATGCATTAAGTGTCTCCAACACTAAAAGCATTAACACTTCTATCCCAAATAACTATGTTTATAAAAAGGTAGAATCAAATATGATTCAAAAAAGGTAATTGAGATTTGATTCTGTACCATACTGAAGGGATGGAACTGGGTTTGATAGAAAACGAGCGAAAATCCATCCAATTGGATTTAATAGTTTTTTTGTGCATGACAAACATAAAAAATCCCAACGATATCTGCTTATCACTTCAGAAACTGGAATTTACAATTCATTCATTCCCTCATTAACTTTTGTAATTCATTCCTTCATTCATTCACTCATTAGTTTGTAATTCATTCATTCATTCAGTCATTTGTCCAGTTACGACATGGGAATGTATGGGAAATATTGTGAATGGTCAGTATCAAACTTTGGCCACGTAACGAAAACTACGATACGGAAGTTTTAAAATATACAACCCCGTCTCAATGTTACGAAAAATTTTAATCCAACCAAAGGAATAGTATTATAGAATTTACATGCAAAATCAGTGAAACAAAGTGACCAAAATACTTTGCTTGGGTTTGATTCTCATCAAAATCTGCTTCTGAAAATAATTCTAACAGGCCGGTCTCTTTAGGAATATCAAAATTACTTTAAACCAATTTTTTTTACATATTCCTAAAGATAATCGACCAATAAATGTTAAAATAACTTACATCATTGACGTGGGCAACGAATTGATTCTATCTCTTTTTGGAAAAGTAACTTAGACATCTGGAAATAAATCACCCCTATATGGTACAGCTGAAAGTTCCTGCACCGCCCTGATAATTTGCTTCCGGATGAATGCCTATCATACATATTGCGAATCCAAATCGACCAGCATCCATTTTGCGAAAGTAATACTCGAGATCGTGATTACTTATGCACAGAGATAGAATGCCAATGTCCCGCTGTGTTGGTATTAAATTTTACTCAATTAATTAGGCTTTTAGTTGTGAGAAAATGAATCAATTAATTGTCTTTATATTTCCTGACGAATGCATATTCTGGTTTGAAAATTTTTCTTATTAAGACTTACCAAGATAGTCCGTAACCGCTCGCGAAATTGGCTGCGAAAATATCCCAATTATGCGAAATAATAAAGTTCTCACGTAAAAAAAATTCGTGCGCACTCTTTGAAAAGCAAACCTCGTCTGCTGTCTAAAATCCCCGCACACACGGTCTAACCAATGCTTATCTCAAAATGCACACTTTGTAATCACTTTTTTTTTATTCCTACTTTTGTCCATGTTCGCTATGAAGCGGTACATGTGTAAATTTCCCTATATTTACTAAAATACAAACTCAAGCCAAATTTTTGAAAACGTCTTATGCGACTACCATTTGTTCCAGGGAACATGAGGCGAAAGGTACTGATCTTTTCATTTTTATTGTTTTGTATAAAATTAACAATTGATTCTTTTTGATTTGCTAGCCACGTCCCCTTTTCTTAGGAGCTTATAAAGATTTTCTAGCCACGCCCCCTTTTTTAAGAGACTAGAATAATAAAATAAACTTTGTTAAGTGATGTTAATAATTTAAAGAGATTTTTGCGAGTCTTGAAAACGAACATACGTACCAATCGATGTAACTTGGCTAATTAAAGCCAAATGATATTCTGTAAAAAAATTGTTACCAAAAACCCATTCACAAGGATGCAGTGCAGTTTCCTTTATTTTAATCAGTGAGATTGTCCATGTAAATGTTAGCAGTAGGTATTTGTAAATTTTCATGGTTATTTAAATAAAAGCACTTAAGGCGCATCACGTGGCCACGAATTAACTTTTTTTTACCAGAATGAACGGTAATAATAATCAAGTTTAGGGTAGAAAGAAAAATGTAAGTGAAATGGGTTTTCGATCGAAATTTCTTTTTTTCTGAATGTACTTATATTGTTCACATTACGAAAATGTTTGTCTTTCATTAAAATTACAAGTTTCTACCGTCTGAGCACCCACTGAAAGTTTCTCTTCGTATTCATCAAGAATGAGTTAAAAAAACTGAAGTTTTCTGAGACAATCAGCGAGTGCTTTTGTGTCCCCGAATATCGCAAACGTTGTACGATCAGATAATTTGGATTATTACAGAAAAAAACTGTGACATTGAATTTTTAATTTTTTAATATGGACCGCTTGCGTGCGGAGTATTATGTCCAAACACGCTTGTAAGATTTTCTTTCTTTCAAGGATCTTGTTTTTATTGTTTCAAGTGTTTCGGAATAAATTTTTGTCATTGTCAGTTAATTAAGTGTGTTTATTCGAATCCTTTACGCGACCCAGACAGAGCTTTCATGCCATGCCAGTCGGAACAACCTGTATGTAAAATGTTTCAATTTATTTCCCTGGGGGAATTTCTCACAGAATGGGAAAATTTATTAAATTGATATTTTAGTGTTTTTTGTACAAATTATATAGTATACCTAGAGGGAATTGATAATGAACCTCTCTCTTTTCATCTTCTACACCCTACAGTAACACCTCAGACGTCCGAGAAATAGTCAAAAAGAATAATTAATTACTACAGCAATTTTCCAGATTAGGTACTTCTGGTGTCTTTTGGGGGGTTTATTAATTAGGGAAGATAGGTAGGGACTAATCTGGAATAGGTTTTTTTCTGAAGATTTCATTTTTGGCCATCGTAGAGTTCTAGCCACCCCGAAATTAGCCCAGAACCAAATTTTTCTTTCGAGTGTTTTCTTAAGCGTTAATTTCACCCGAGTTTTCCGAAAATTTTACAGTTAAAAAAAGTGCAAAAGTCAGAAGCGCAAGAGATTTTTTGGTCCAAATTAATCTATAATGATCTATCATTCGTCAGCGCATTATTATTTAAGCTCCGAAAAATACTAACGTTATCAATAAGTAAGGGACGTCCACTCACTAACGAACTACAAGATCTTTAGTGTGTTGATTATAACTAATTAACGACACAGGCGATTAAATTAAAGTAGGTAGGTACGTACACAACATGGAGAAAGTTGCGTATAAATAAAATGCTTACGCAACTGCACGTCGCTCGTTCCGACACGAAAACGAAAACAGGGAGGTTTTCCCCGAGTACAAATCCTTATATACTGCGATGCTTAGGTGGCGTATGTGCATTGTTGCAACTAACTCCAATGTTAAACAGGATTCTAAACAAGCGTTACGCCGAGGTTACGACTAAGATCTTAAGCGCTACAAAATGTAATCCAGGCAAATCACGTCACGTCACGTTCTCCTTTACTTTACAGTAGCTTTTTCATTGAATTTTAATCAATAAATATCATACAAAATCATTTTCATGCATTACTTCTCCAAGTCGATTCCTTTAGGAATATTAAAATTACTTCTAAAAAAATGTCTTATGCAAATTCCTAAAAATAACCGACCACTACTTTATACAAACCACAATATTTAAGATTAGTTATTGACGTGGGTAAAATTTTCATGTTAACCTTATCTCAAATAGTGGCAATGAGAAGGTGTTTTTTTAATTTGTTCCTTGAACGCCAGAAAAAAATAAAAACGGGATCGGCAAATTTCGGTTATTTTTGACATATCTTCGGAAGTAATCGGAATTTTATGGTTTTCTTTACAGTAGGTACTTTCTAATTGTAATCTCTTAGTAAGGCAAAAAAAGGCGTTATTGGACAAATGAATTGGCCTTATTTACTAACAACGCCACGTCCACGATAACGAATGCAGGTGTTTGCAGTTCGGGTGATGGCAGGAAAAAACGATGTGGAGCTTATTAATGGAGGTGGTTTCATCTTTAGATACCAAAAATGGGAAATAAACGTTGCGTTAGATTATAAGGGCAGTGTTTGCCAGATAAAGAAGTCTTGCACCGGAAGTTGTTACGCATGTGGTTCGGCAGTTAAGAAGCCAAAATCGTTGTTCAGTTTTCTTACAGTGTCGTTTAATTAAAATTCTTATATCACCCCGCTCTGTAGATTTATTACCACGCTCTAGTAATCAATCTGGCTACGGCCCTGGTGTACTGGCTTAATAAAATATAAGATGTGAGGATAACTGTGCTAGGATATTTCAAGATTAGATGGCTCATATCATCCTAAATATATTTCAAAAATTCGACCGAAGTGGATGTACACTGTAAATTGAAATTCAAAAGGTTAATTATGGAGTTCAAATCTCCATACAATGCTGAAATTTATTACGTCAGTTATAAATGGCAACCTATCTACGGTATTGAGTGATTCTAGAAAATTCGAATCGCTTGTGTGGAAATAAAGAAAATTTATTTTATGTAAAGTAGGTACCTACCGTCAACAATACAAATGGTGAAGGGGTTCAAGGCCAACCCAACCTCCCACTGTCGTTAGTTGTTGAGGAAGAGAGTTGAAGAGTTTTTTGTACAAATTTCTTCGAGTAGTAAAAATGGACTGGGACGTATATGGTTTTATTATTATTTGCAGGAAGATGCTTCGAAAGT